CTTTTGGGTGCTGGATTCGAGACGCGGGGAGGGGGTTGTGATTGGCGGAGGGGGAGGAGGGATGGGGAAGGGGATGGTATGTGCAGGTTTCGTACGCAGAGACTCGAGGCAGGGGGACGGGTCGGGTGAATACACTTAATAGCTACGTGATGTAGATCCTTTGGCAGTTGCCTAGGCCACTTTAGGGGGAGGGAAAAGGGTGATAGATTGAAAGGAGAGAAACAAGAAAAAAATACCACCAAGAAAGGAAATAAAAGCAAGAAGAAAGTACCAGCAAGAAAGGAAGTAAAAGGAAGAAAAAAGTACAAGCAATAAAGAAAATAAAAGCAAAAGCAAGCGAAAAACCCGCCATAAATAAGGTCCCCACTCATAAAGCCGATGCTTAGGCAAAGAAAACTGAAAGCCAGTAAGGTGAAACCGATGCTTAGGTAAAGCTGCGAGCTCTCAGCTTTACCTAAGCATCAGCAGTTTGATCTCTCAGCTTCATCTAAGCATCAGCAATTTGATCCCTCAGCTTTACCTAAGCATCAGCAATTTGATCTCTCAGCCTTACCTAAGCATCATCTTCATGAGGAAACTTTATCAGCAAAGGAATTTGCCATTTATATCATGAATGGGCAAGAACTTTCCCCCGAAACTTCAGCTTTCTAGCTTTTCTCTTTCCCGAGTTAGAACTTTTCCCGCCAAGATTTTCACGTGCCCGTACGTGAGCCCGGGAGGACCTGAGGAGCTGATTTGAAAGCTTTTGGTCGTGCGTGAGTAGGGAACATTTTCCCAGATTTTCAACTTTCTAGCTTTTCTCATTCCCGGGTTGTGAATTTTCCCGCCATAATTTTCACATGCCCATACGTAAGTCCCGGACTGTCCTGGGTAGATGAATTTGAAATCTTTTTGTCATACATGGGTAGGGAACATTCCCCTAAGATTTCAGCCTTCTAGCTTTTCTCGTTCCAGAGTTAGCTATTTTCCCGCCAAACATCGTACGCGGAGTCCAGGCGTCCGTGAGGGTTGACACCGCGGTCTTGGGGTGGCACTTGGCTAGGGAACACATTGACAAAATTTCAGCTTCAAAACTCACATGGTTGGCGAGTTGAAATACCCGAACACACACACAATCGTCGCAATATGCGTTTTTGTTGCCTGTTACAGCGCTCTAGCGCTGCACGGCAAAAACACATAAAAAAACCTTCAGAGTTTAGGTGCAGCTGTGCTTTTTTTGCCGCATGCCGTTGCATAATTACAATGGAAACTGAATGAGTTAAGTACTAGTTGTAGTTTATTTTAATTTATCAGAAGATAACACGAAAATTTAAGATTGGTTTATTTGGCCCTCTAATCCCCTCTCTGTTTTTGTATACGAGACTCTGAGTTAAGCACAAAAATATGGAAATTTGATTGCCAGTCATTCAGCTATCATTTTACTTTAAGCTGAGCCTGAAAATTCTGAATTTCTAGCTAAATTTTGAATCCGAGCAAAACTTTGGGATGCTGCTTTTAGAACTGGCAACCACACCTTTCAAGATTATTTACCTTGCATGATTAGCGATAAACAAAAAATATCTAGTTTCAAGCTCCCCCTGTAATAAAACAGAATTAGCCTGGTATTGAGCCTGCTAACACACAATAAGATAATTTGAGTTTCAAGAAATTGTGCAATGCTGCATCGGTAAATTAAACTCTTGCTCGCATGTTCCCACCTCTACATGTGACCACTCGTTTTAGTATTACCATTTACACGAGAGTACGCGAACAATAATATTGAAACGGAACAGTCGCGCATAGGGTGAAAAAGTGCTCCAAAAGTTTTAGCTAATTTGCTTCTCTGATTGCTCGGTTAAAATTGGTGGCAAAATGCAAACAAACACATCTAGAGCAACAAGCTCGCCCCAGTATGATTTGCGCAAATATGCATAAAAACTGAAAGGAGTATGATACATTTTAGTTGCTAAATTTTACAGATAAAAAGTTAGGTTTCTTGTTGGTCACACAACAAAATCAGAAATTGCGCTTCTCTAAAACTGTTTTTTAAGAAAAAATTGGATGGAACTTTCAATTTTTAAAATAATTTACAGCAGATATTTTGTGCTCTACAGCATCCATTTGGAATTTATCAATTGTTGGCTTGGATCGCTACTGGGCAATAACGGCGCCTACGGCTTACATGACTAAAAGAAACAAGCGGACCGCCGCTTTTCTCATTTTGTCCGTTTGGTGCTCATCCGCCTTGATTAGTTTAGCACCCTTATTCGGATGGAAACAGGTACGTAATTGCATCTTTAGTTCTAAATGTTAAATATGCATACACTCTCTTCCATTTCGCGCATTCGAAACTGACAGAATCGTCCGGACTGTCGATCCGACGCTATTATTATGTAGCTACCACATGCCGAAACCACGTGGATTCGCTTCGTGCTTCATTCATCCCTTCTCACACTACCATTGGAATCCTGTAGATTAAAAATCCAAAATGTAAATTTCGGTTTTTGGCTTTGAATGCAGATATGCGTCCTTCTTTGTTGCCGGTGCTGCGCCATTCTTTTTCATGAAAATGATACGATAAGATGCTCATTTTTGCCGTTGCCAAAAATTCATTATAGCTGTTATGCATATTTTTCAAACGTTCACTTGAATGTCCAGCTAAATTTTGAAAATGCGAAAGTAAGTGGCACCAGTTCCTAGGAAAAGCTGTCACCGTTAATTGCAAATTGTTCCTTTCGGTTATGCATGGTACTGAAAAAAATTTTAGATAGCGGAGCGAGGCAATATGGTAATGACGGCAAATGGCAGTTGGCAGTGTGTCTTCCTGGATTTGCCATCTTATACTATTTACAGTGCAACAGGCTCATTTTTCATACCTCTGGTTGTTATGTTTTTCGTCTATTATAAGATTTACCAAGCTTTTGCGGAACATCGTGCTCGCCAGCTCTACAGACAAAAGGTTCCCCCTCAACAGTTGTTGATTATTTTATTGATTAAATCGAGTGTTACCTGTTGTTTCATCAGCAACACGACTAGTCCTGTTTTCATGCCTTTTTTGCATTTATGCAAATATGCATTTACTGCATGTCTGTGCCAGCTTTCCCACCCGGCAACAAAGCAGACAAGAAAACTCAAAATTTTTTTACTTACTTTTAATCCCCTAGAACTTCAATTTCGCGACCTCATATTCTGCTGGTTATCGAGCTACGACCTTAAAAATAAACCTGAATCAAGGAATTAGGAAGACTAAAAAGTTGAAACTCTATTAGTTTTAGCCCTGAGCCACTACCGATTTGCAAACAAAAATCGACTTTCCAAGCTCTTTATTTTCAAATCTTTAGCCATACTATCTGGTCTTGAGAGCTATAAAAGTCCAAGTGCATGTTAGTATGATTCTTCAAGTTAGCGCTTGGTTCCGCGCCTTCAATCCCAATTTACTTTGCATGCAGTTTTCGCGCATACTGGAGGCCAAGAAAGTGAGGTGGAAGGAAAATTTGGCTAGGCGCTCTGTTACACTATGAAAGTTTGGGATCATTAATTTTGAAATAGACCCTTTTTCTTAGCCGTTCTACATACTCCGTCTTCAAGTTCAGATCTTCCCTGCCAAAGCATCTTTTGCGCTGCTTAAACCAAGTAGAATATGAAAGAGATACAGGCAACTAACGTATCGTAGCTGTTGGGAACGAAATCGCTTTTCTGCCAGATGAAGATGAATTTCACTTGAGAGCACGGAGTTCGTCGACGAGAATTCAGAAATTCTAAAAAAACCTTATAAAGCAGAATTAAAACTTTCACAGTGACAAGAATCTAGATTTAACAGTTTATGTGAAAGTAAAATTCTTAAACAGTACTGCAATGATGTGCTCCTAAAAGTCATATAACGAAAAAAAAAGCAACTCGTCCTACTAAGCGCGTGTTGCACAGCCTATTCAAACTTTCACGAAATAAAAACTTGGCTTTCTCCTAAAACAGCCGCTAATTATTACCTGATTGAGTCTGTGTTTAGGTAATAAGGAAGCACATAGAATCTACGATATTGCACGAACTGAGTCATGTGCTGCCTACAAGTGATGAATTTGCCAAGGATGCTGATTCAGGTTACTTTTGAAAGCAGGTTGCCAAGTTTCGCTGCAGGAAAAAGTCTCCGAACAGTTCTGCAGTGATATGAATCAAGTAGATTACATCTTGAGCTGGGCTGGTTGAGAATATGTAGAAATATGTACGTTGAATGTGTAGAAATTTTTTTCCAGACATTATTATGACCTGCCCTGCAATTTCATTTCGACCCTTTTCAATGTTTCAGAGCGGGATTTCTCGAACAATTTAGAAATTTTCGGGTTCAGTTTGCAGAACGATAGAGGTTGACTGAACCAAATTTCATTTTTTGTTTTTTCCTGACTTAGTTCGAAAAAGTGAAACTAACACATTCGTATTATGGCGCGTTCAAGCGAAATTGTCCCGCGGCATCTTAATGAAAAACCATTTACGTCATCCATCTTCCTCTTCCATTCCTCCTCGGAATGCGCATCGCGAATTGTTTTCATCGATCTGTTTTGATAAAGTAACATTAATGTCTTCTGAACGCAAAAATGAATCAGCTTCAACTTCCTTTGCGCTGGTGGAGAATTAGTTAGCAGTAATAATTTTTTTATCTTACAGCTGAGACTGAATCGCTAATTTGATGCGTCTGCTTCCGGATGAGATGTCCATAAAGTGAATTTCTTAAGCTTCTACTGGGTTTTTTCTTAGGCAGTTTGACACATCATTTAAAGCAACCGCGGTGTGATCCAGGTTCAGAAAGCAATTCAACAACAAATGTCTACAAACAGCAGTCTGTGGAGCCAATTCGAGAGGAGGAGGAACTCGCGAGCGAGGTTGACAAACAATCCAGTTCTCGGGAAATCCGCACCATCCAGTCTGATATGGTTTCTTTTTATATACATTTGCATATGTTCTAAAAATACATTATGGGACTGCCATAAATTTGTATTTGTGTGCGCGTGCGTATATGTGGGTATTTGTATATGTATGCGTACAAAAACAAACGGAAAAATTTAGGGAAGCTTAAAATTTTGCAGATATATCTTTGAATATGCATAAAACGTATATGAATCTTTCTTTTCGGCAGTTTGGCGTTTAGTGTCTTATCCAAACTCCGACAGTCTGTACGCATCTGACTAACCAAGAAAAAAACAGAAAATAGCGATTCTAGATGTGAGATTAAGCACTGATATCATTTTTTGAGACTCACAATATCCTGAGACAACATGTTCAGATTTGGAATCTTTTCGAAATATCAGGGAGAAGGAAAACTGTTGATAGTTTTTTCTTTCGAGAGTTGCATTCAGCTGACGGCGGTCTTAATTTGCTCGCACTAATTCACAATCGAAACGGATGAGTGAGTTGTGGAGTAATTGTTTGTCCCACGGGTGGAGTCGAACCCATGATCTACGGTATGTTAGTGCTGCTTCCCATTGCACCATGTGTGTCAGTTTAAGAAAAAAAGACAAAAAGTTGCTTGAAACACAAAAATCACAAGGTGAATGAAAAAGTCAAAGGCCAGTGGCGAATAATAATTCAAAAAAAAAGATGCTTGTAATCTATAAATTTGATTCATTTTTAAGTGAAATTATATGCAGGAATCAAGTCCAAGACAAGTGATCCGAAGTACGAAAAGTGTTGTGCCAAGAGACAACTGTACCAGGGAGAATGGATCGGTGAAAAGTTGGCACTGCGACAGCAGGATAGAACTTCGAAAAAAGTTCTTGATACAACATGCTAAAACATCTCCGAATCTAGAAATTACTTACGAAAAGATACAACGCCGATCCAGAAAGTATCGCTTGATAATTGTCAATACATTATTTAAATTCCGCCAAAAAATGGAACTCTTAAAAAGGAGAGCTTAACTTCTCGTAGTGACTTGGTGCTGGCTGCAGCTCCATGGTAAAGAAACGTGCGCAATAGCTGTGCACAAGTAGAGTGGGAAAAGTACTTTGCCGTTCGTGAACGGAGCTCTTCCTCGAAGATTGTGAGGAATCGGGAAGGAATTGAACCACTCCTTTTTATGCGTTTTTGCCGTGCAGCGCTAGAGCGCTGCAACAGGCAGCAAAAACGCATATT